GGCGGCATGCACTTTAAAGTGCATGCCGCCGCCCTGCTGTATGGCCGGGGTGGCGCACTTTAAAGGGCCAGCATGCCTCCCAGCCACAAACCAGGACATGTTTCGCTGTATGGTGGGCCAAGTCGGCATGCACTTTGAAGTGCTTCTATAGGCATTCTATAGGTATTCTATGATATTGACTTACCTCCTTGCAGCAAACAGCCTGATTAGCACAAGAAAAACAGTCTGCCTCTGCCTCTCAGCAATTTGCCATGTGGAGCAAACAGCAAGTTTCACTTTCAATTTATCCTGATCATCAACTGTTTCACGTTGCAGGGATTATTACAGCCTATTGCAGCTTCCACAAGCCTCCGTTTGCTGCAAGGAGGTAAATTGCTGGGAGGCAGAGTCCAAAGGGTTGGGGCTGGTGGGTGGGTGGACTACATTCAGTGTATAATTTTCACCCTCTTTTAGGAGGAAAAAATGTGCCTCTTATATTCCGAAAAATATGGTATGTACACATATGACATATATACATAGGATTAAATAGTATATTTTGTTCAGAGGAATTGTATCTGATTGAGCCCTTTGAGGCGAGAACAGGCCAGGCAATGTGCCCCTTGACGTGAGTGATATCAAGTTGGCCATGTCGACCCAGTCTCATGACCAACCAGCTATGCCTATCCAGTCATATGACCAACCAATCACATGACCATGAAGCTACACCTGCCCAATCACATGACCAACAAGCCACACCACTGTCACATGACTAACAAGCCCACCAAACAAGCCATGTCCACAGTAGTAAAAAGGTAGTAAAAAGTTTTGAAACCACCCCTGGAGATACCGTATATGACATGCATCAATTATTGTTTTAGAATAGTTTTATGCCAGTTTGTAATACTAGCTGAACATAGAATTAAAAAGAAAGAAACCATAATCTTTGCAACATAAAACATATTTTTTCCCTGATTAGATCAGATAAATTGATTTTTACTCAGTTTGAAGATGTAACTGTCTCTATATTTATAGGAGGAAATAGTACACACTTCATACTAAATAAAAATCAATTGACTACAGATAGGATTAAATAAAGTGGAATGTAAGGGTCAAACTTTTTGTATGACATACATACATAAAGCAATAAAGGTTGGATGTATGTAGCAATATTGTTAATATAAGTCTAGCCTATCTACTGTCAGGCTTGCAGTGGTTCCTTTAATAATATTTGGCCTGCCACACTCTCATTAAGGGGGTGGGATAGCAAGGGGTAGAATGTGTTGTTTTCAAAATAAAAAATTCCTTTCTAGAAGCTCAAGGTCATTGGATTTGGATTGGATTTGGATTTATTACATTTATATGCNGGAGCTGCTACAGAGAAGGCCCTCCCCCGGGTAGTAGCCAGATGGCATTGGCTGGTGGACAGAACCTGGAGGAGGCCGACCCTGTGAGATCTGACAGGTCTTTGGGAGGTAATTGGCAGCAAGTCCAGGGTGGCTGAAGCAGATTGAAAAAGTGGGGGGGGGCATCAATTGATGAAACATTAAGTCCCCACCCGTATTTCTGCCATCCTCCATCACTCCTTCCGCAGAACAAATGCACCACAAATGCACAGTCCATGGCCCCCTAATAAGATGAATTAGATGGGCGCTGTCCAAGTTGGTATTCCAGGGGCAGTGGTGGGTGGCAATGCGGTTGGAGGAGGTCAGGTGTTCAAAGGCCAAGATAGCAGAAAACCAGATGCTAGGCAGGGGAAACAGGAGGAGACTCCGCAGCAGCGAGGGCAGGCAGAAAGAAAAACTCACCAAAAAGAAAAGCCCAATCACGCAAAGAACGAAGGAAAGAGGCAGCGTCGACGAGGAGGCCAAGCAAAATGGAGAGTCCAGGGAAGGCCACGGCGGTGGCAAAGCCCAGGTCGATCCCCCCCTCTCCGGGGCGATGGCAATGGCAATGGCAGTTAGATAAAGTCCCCAAAGGCTCATCAAATCGCACAGACAGAGTCAAAAGGCATCGTAATTGCTGAGAGTCGATGGAAAACGCCGCTGTCATCAGCGCGGCGCCACCATCTTCACCACCAAGCAGAAGATAAATAACTCGAAAGCCGCAGAAGATTGCGTAGTCTGGGGTCACCCAAGAGTGGCGGCTCCTCCAGATATCTGGTCTCCTCGTGTGCCCTGGGTTTCAGTCATCCCAGGGACCTTTTTCAGATGATTATGCCGTAGGTTCCAAGAATTCTCCAGTGCTTTTTCACCGAATTGCTTCAGAGCGAAAAAGCCTGGCAGCCATTCCGATCTCGCACATGCGCAGTAGTGTGCGAAATCTCTCAGTTACTATTTTTGAGCCAGTTTTCACCTAATCTGTACTTGTATCTTTGGTTTTTCTTAACGAAATGTAAAACTTTGCTTTTCTCCACATTAAAATTTATTTTGTTGGATAGGACCCAGTGTTCAAGTCTGTCAAGATCTTTTTGGATCCTGAGTTTGTCTTCTGGGCTGTTGGCTGCCAGCTTAGTGTCATCTGCAAATTTGATGCGTTCCCCTTCTATTTCCTCATGTATGTCATTTATGAAGTTATTGAAGAGTATTGGGCCTAAGATGGAACATTGTAATACCCCACTGCTTACTTCTCTCCATGCAGATGGAGGATGACTCATTGGGTACAGTTTGTCAGCCAGTTACAAATCCATAATTTGTATAGAGTGATGATGCTCTCTATCGCAATTTTTTCTACAAAAAGGGAGGCCCAGAGGGCAAAAAGCATCCTTCTGAACCTCCTTTCTCACCCAAGATCCATTTAATGAGGCCTCTAGCAACAAAAAGAGGCCCGGAAGGCTGCATCCCGTTTTCAAAAAGCCTTTGCTGGTAGGAACAGCTTCGGAGGAAAGCACCCGCTCTTCCCAAGCTCCGCTGGTGCCAACAAAAGCTTTTTGCAAAGGGCTGTCAAAGTCTATAGGAACGCAATCTCCCTGAAGGCTTCCGCAAGGAAATGGCAAATGGAGGGAAGGCCTGAAGGACCGAAGTCTTCCCTCCACTTGCAAAAGTCCAGGCCTCAATTCGCAGAGAATAGAGGTTTCAAGTGCGAGATCACACGAGATCAGTAGCACGAGATCTCGCATAATCATTAGGTATGTTACACCTCTGTTCTCTGCAAATGCACCAAAAGCCTGAAGCAACGAAGCAGGCCAAGAAAGTGCTTCGCAAGGTGAGTCTCCACTTCAGAGTGCCTAGGAGGCTGGGGAAGCGGGGGAATAGGCAGGGTGAATGTTGCAGAAACTCTGCGGTCATTTGTAAGGGCAAACAACTTTTATGGTGTGCCAATATTCATAATTTTGGGACTTGTTCATAAATGCTAGGGGCTGCTTATTGGTAAAGGAACGCTCATAACTCAGAGATTACCTGCATAACGATATGTATCATTTATATCATGAAGTTCCATCTTCTTAGAATAATTCAGAATAAGAACAGCCATATGTTGGCAATCACTCAAAGAAAGAATAGTAGGATGGATGATCTTTTAGTAGTAGTAATGCTATTGTGTTTTCACTTTGTATTGGTATGTTTTGTACTTTTTCTATGTGAGCAGCCAACAGCTATATTTACTAATTAATCTCCTCAGAATACCTGTTCCTCACTTGGGTCAAGCTTCTTTAGAATAGAATAGAATGAGTTGGAAGGGACCTTGAGGTTTTCTAGTCTAGCCCCCTGGACTAGAAATAGTGCAGGAGAACCTATACTATTTTATCTAAATGACTTGCTAATTATTAATAAGTAGATAATCCTACTTGCTAATTGTTCCCCAATCATCTTCCATTTTAGTTTCCAGACTGGGCCCAGGAGTCATTCCAAATTTCCTCCTTCTTTAGTTAACCCCCCCCACCACCACCACCACCACTAAGAAACAGCAACCTACCTAATGGAAGCTGGGTTGATTTCCTGCAGCTGATATTCATCCAGAACACACAGGTATTTGCCTCCAAGCATGTCCAGTAAAGGACCAGTAAGTGAGCCTCCCAGTTCCATATATCTTGCAACCAGTCGCCTGAGCTGCAAGAAAAGAAGTTACGTTTTAAGAAAGGATGTGTGTCCATAGCAGTGACAAGAGGTGAGGCTGGTAAATATTTAGAAAAAAATGCTGAAGAACCTACATGGTCTAAGAAATTAGATAAAGTTAAATTTTGATATATATTTTTATTCAGACTGACACATTTGTTGTACAGAGCAGGAGGTATGTAAAGTCATGCCTGCAGAGCAGGAGGTATCTAAAGTCATGCCTGCAAGCTGTCTTTTCTTTTTGGACTTCAGGCCTGCCACACTTTCTACTGCGGGAAAATGGGAGGGGGGATTATATGGAGTGGGGTAATATGTAGCCATAACAACATTCTTCTTAGAAACTAAAGGTCATCTTTGTCTTTTCACCTGGCTGGAACTGGATGGGAGGAATATCTTTTCGTGGCAGTGGAAGATTGGCCTATCTGTGGTTGTTGGGACAGAATCTTGAACTTTCAACTGGGTGGAAAAACCTGGAAGCTTTCAAATTCGTGTTTTCCCAGTTGTGCCAACATGGCTCTCTTAATAAATTGGAACTTTGAGGAATCCTTTGCCTTGGACTCTGCTTTAATTTTGGATGCTATTTGGAACCCTGACATAAAGACCATTTAACATGTGTATATCAGTAATATTACATCCATATAAGAATACCACACTTTTTGTGTAAAAAGGTAAAAGGGGAGTAGTCAGAAAAGTGATACACTTAAAGTAACATTCATACACCTCTAGCTTAATATGAAAAGCAAACAAAATGCCTTTGTTGTTACTAGTTCACAGCAATTCTGTTTGTGGCCCCTGATGGAGAGATCCTTCTGATACACTACCTGCGGCATCTCCCATGCACCATCGTTTGGATTCAGAAGAGCAGCCAGGGTGTCACTGGAAGTGAGGTTCCAACTGCCAATCTCGTCTGTACTGTACTGACGTGAGAGGAAGCCAAGCAGTCGCAACTGATCTTCTGGAATCCCATCAGGGTAGCTCTAAGAAAGTAATTCATTATAAATAGGTTTCATTAACAACGATGTAGCAGGCTGATGCTCTATGGATGTGCAAGTTGGATTTGGAAGAAGCGGGATGAAAAGATGATCAAGGCTTTTGAATTTTGGTGCTGGTGAATCATGGACATCAGGAAACCAAACAACAACCCAAAAATCCCACTGGTGGCACAAATGACCAGACATTAATTCCCCTGTTTTGGACACATTATGCAAAGACCCAGTTTCTTTGAGAAGTCTATAATGCGGGGAAAAGAGAAAAGAAAGTAAGGTGGATGGGCTTGATTAAAACTTCAAGAAACAGGCTATAGAGACACTTCAAAGCCCAGGTTGAGGGCAGATCTTCTAGAAAATACATATTTAGTTGCTAAGACTTGATGGGGTTTAATTAAGCGACATGGTAGAAAAAAGAGCACATGGCAAGAACGGTCTTGGCACTTTGGGGGGTTTACAACCCTGGGGAGGAGGGAAGGACTACAAAAGTAAAGCAGGTGTTTAGGACAGATTGACCAAGGACAGATTGATGTGTCAACGTTGTCTGCTTAAAGACTCCATTAAAGTTTGTAGTAAAGAAACGGAAGCAACTCAGCAAGTGTGCCTTAAGAAACCGACTAATAGATGAGCACTCAATTTTGCTTACTCACTTTCCAAGATTCTACACCCTGAGCCCTTTTCTCCTGGCATTAAACCCGATTACTGTATTGAAATCCCAGTGGCCTGTTGTTAGTTGAATGAGTTTATGTGCTTAGGAGACAGGTGGACTTCCTTCTCCCTTCGAGGCAGAGAGTGGGTGGGAATGAAGCTTTTCTATATTCTCTTTAAATTCAGTGAACCTATTAGCCTAAGCCCATAAACTGCAACCAAGATAGGTAGAGTAGAGATAATTTTGTTCTGCTATTCAATGCCTCAGATGACTTTCAAGCACTCTGTTGAAACATACTTGGCTGTGAATCTCCAACAGAAGTGATTATTCTTCCCTTAGATATTAAAATAAGAATGGTACTCATTTTATTAAGTAAGAATGGTACTCATTTCTAAAATGTCTTTAAAATGTTGTTTTAAAATGAATATAGTAGAATTTTGAAAAATGACTTTAAATCTTATTGGCTTATTTATTGTTTGCTATATCACTCACTTGGTAGCAATTTTAATTTAAAAATTAATTTTAAAATATTCTTTACTTTTTCTTCTTAAGCTTAACGTGTCACTACATGTTTCACTACCAAATTCAACACTAGAGACCAGGGTGTCCTTGGGGGAGGGGTGGGCGGGATCAAAAACATCAACACAGAGGCTGTGACTATGCAATCAAAGCCACACCCCTTCCTTATATGCATCATGTGTGCAAAGCGTGGAAACCTGGGGTGAGTGTGTCAACTCTACAATGTCAATTAGTATTACAATTTTTGGGAACCCCTCTGAAGACACTCCTGGTATACCAGGCCCTCCTCAGTCCATAGGCCACTCACCTTGTCTAACTTCTTCTTAACTATGGCCCAGTAGTCATTTGGAAGGGGCTGATCAAGCAAAAGAGCCAGGTTGGCCTTCACAACTTCATCACTCAGACATGCATCCAACTGCTGGGCACTGTCGTAGTGAATTATGAAAAGCGGATCTTCTAGGCTGCTGCTGGTGATGGGAGCAGACTGACAAGCTGTGGGCAGAATTCACAGGGAAGAAATCATCTCTTTTTGAGCAGATTTTGGGAAAGTCACAATTCTTTGGCTCTGTTGCTCCAACTTCCAATTCTCTGCCAGGTCTCCTCCTGTCTCAGTGTCTCCCCTTTTCTTCAAGTCACCAAACGTTTCCTCCTTCTTACTCATGCTTTTCCAACAAATTCCTTTTATTGGCTGCCCTTCCCCTGAATTTTAATGTACATGGTAAATAACAAACATGCTACAAAAATGATAGATTAACACTGTAATTGATCACGATGGTTTGAAAGATTTTTATTATCCAATTGTAGCACCAGCCAAGCCTAGTTACAACTATTTCCCCAACATTTTTAAGGATATACCTACATACGGATAAAGGTGCCCGGGGGGGGTGGGGGGGGTTGAGAAGAATTTTTTAAATGTCAAAATGTCGGCTACAACTGAATAATTCAGTTCCTTTTTGCATGTGATGCAAATAAAGGGGAGGGTTTTCATTGCAGTTCATTTTAACTGCTTATGCATTTATTTTTATATTGTGCTTCCAATTCTAATAGGAGTATCTCCCATTAAATACAACATGTCCTCATAATACAGCCATGCCAAATTTTTCTGGTGGGCAAAAATATAAGCTCCCCCACCCCGCATATAAGCCCTCTGGACAAACCCCCAACTCTGGCCAGGCAGAGCACCGCTCACCAACCTAACAGTATCCCGAAGGTGCCAAGCCGCAGGAACCTGGGGGGAAGCAAAGGTGATCGTGTTGCTTGGTACTTTCGGGATACCACTAGGTTGGTGAGCAGTGCTGTGCCCAGCTGAAGAGGGGGGTTGCCGGTCTTGCGAGCGGGCTCCCAAAGAGCCGGGCACAGCCTCATGGGGGAATGGCTGTGTTGCGCTGTCACAGCAGTGCAACACAACAGCCATGAAGCAACCACGCTCATGAGCAGCCACCTGGCAAACCCCCTTTGCAGCTGGGCACAGCGGCATTCACTGACCTAGGGGTATCGCCAAGCTGTGTGAGCTGTTCCACTCTCGCTCACCCATCTCCCAGCCTCCCGATGCATGGTCCAGCTCTCATTATGGAGCCAGGGCACCTCCGCTGCCGCCATCCCAGCCTGGCTTTTTCTGTGGCTTCCAAGCTGAGTCTTTTGGCAGTGGCCACTGTGGGCACACGCTCTATGATGGTACGCTCTGCAGGCGTGGTTGCTTCATGGCTGTTGCGTTGCGCTGCTGCAACAGTGCAACACAGCCATTCGCCCATAAGGTTGTGCCCGGCTCTTTGGGAGCCCGCTCGCAAGAAAGCAGCCACCTGGGAACCCCAAAACAATAAACCCTCCCCCCATAATAAGGCCCAAGCCATATTTTGTAGGTAAAAAGAAAATAAGACCCTGTCGTATTTTCGCAGAAATACAATATTTGTTTGTGCATGTACAACAGAACAAGAGGCCATTTCCCCCCCCCCTTACTTTCAGTTGCCCGTTTAGTTCTAGGAGGGGAAGCTGGTTTAGATCCAATCGATTTTAAGAAGAGGATTGTTTTTGCCTTTGGAAAAGCTCTTTGGCTGTTGTATCCATCCATCACCTTTCTGAAGAAGATCATCCTTTCTTCCTGAGGAACAGAACATCCATTGGGACAATACATCACACATTTTTTAATCAAGAGAGATAGTTTGGTGTAACGATTAATGTATCAGGCTAAAAACCTGGAGACTATGAGTTCTTGTCCCACCCTTGACATGAAACCAGTTGGATGACTTTGGGCCAGTTATTCTTTCTCAGCCCTGAGATAACAGAGATTAAGATGGGGACCATTTCAGTTTCATGGTCGTAGCTGCCACCTTGACTTCAGAATGGAACCACTGCATGCACGTTCATCTGCTTCTCCTACCTTGTTAATGGAATCCCAGATAGTGTGATTTATGTAGAAAGCAAGAGGCCCAAGGTTTTCAAGGGTTGATTCATCCCAGGAGGCAGGAAATCTGGGTCACATGGAAATAGGTGTTAGATAGTGATGGTGTGTAATATTATTGAACAGAATACAGCTCATAGCTAGCAAAGCAAAAACTAATAATTAGGTAAATGTGCAATTCTGACTCTGAAGAAATTTTGAAAGATCTATTTTTTAACATTTTGTAATTTGAAAAAGTCTATAAAAATTAACCGAACTATGCTCCCTTTCCATTAATTCAATAGTACTCATAATTATAATCTTTGTGTGTCCCTGTATTTCATACTAGTAATTAATTTTAGACCAGCATAACCCAAATTGATAAATACATATACATAGTTGGTAACTAAGTAGGACTTCCATTCTTTTTCCTTTTTCCTTTCTATCCCTTCAAAAGCTAACCAGGGGTGGGTTCCGGCTTCTATTACTGCCGATTCGCTCAGGGACACACTACACACATGTGCTTGAAGCACGCTACATGAGCATGGGCAGTAGTAAAAAAAATGCTTTTGCGCATGTGCAGAAGTAAAAAACAAGATGGCGGCGCCTACAGTGCCACCGATAGAACCAGTTTGGGGGCATGGCTGAACTGGTCCAAACCAATAGGAACCCACTTATGAAGCTAACCAACGTTTGGTGTCTGTTATGGGGTGCTCCCACAATATATTTTGTGAGTGCAGACCTGCAGAATTCCAAAGGACTATTTTTTCTTTTCTTTTTGCCTTTGTGTTAGTCTTGGCTCTTGGTGACTGCCAAGATGAGTCCCTGCAGGTCCTTCGGAAGATTTCAGAAGTGGTTTGCCATCGCCTCCCTCTTAGGTCTGAGAGAGGGTCCTGTGGACAAAGGTTGCCCTGCTAGTTTTGTGTTCAGGGGAGAATCAAATTCTGGGTTGCCTGGGATGCCTTTAACCCTTACTTTCAAAGGGCTAATATCCCGTCATCTCTATAGAGATTTCCAATTAGACAGAATATGAAGAAAACAGATCAGAACAGAATAACAGAGTTGAAAGACTTTTGAAATCTTCTAGTCCAAGGCCCTGCTCAAGCAGGAGACCTTCTACTCTTCCAGTCGTGGCTGTTCTGTCTCTTCTTAAAAGCCTCCAGTAATGGAGCATCCACAACAGGCAGACAGTTAGGAAATTTCTCTTTAGCTCTAAGTTCTCTGCTTGATTAGTTTCCATCCTTTGCTCCTTGTCCTCTTTGCTCCTTCAAGTGCTTTGGAAAATAAATTGGCCCTCTCTTCTTTGTGGCAGCCTCTCATATATTTTAACACTGCTATGTCTCCCGTAGTCTTCCTTTTCATTAGACTAGGCATATCCAATTCCTGCAACCGTTTTTCATGAATTTTAGCTTCCTGCCCCCTAATCATCTTTGTTCTTCTTCTCTGCACTCTTTCGGAAGTCTCAACATCTTTTTTATAATATGGTGATCAAACTGGACACGGTATTCCAAGTGTGATCTTACTAAGGTTTTAGAAAGAGGTACTAAAATCAAGTAATCTTGATTCTATCTCTTTGTTAATGCAACCTTGCATTGCATTGTATTTTCTGGCTGCTGCTACACACTGCTGGCTCATATTTAAGTGATTTTGATAATTTCCTGTTTGTGTGATAAAAAATTAATTTTTTTCTATTTTTATTTTATTCAAAAAAAGTTTAAATATAAAACTCCCAAGAATGTAAGAGAAACAAAGAAAAAGCACAAAACATTAAGATTCATTAATATGTGTATAGAAATTGAATTATTGTATTAAAATTAGAGGGAATCTGTTTGAATGTTGTTTTTCCCGCTCCCTGCCTCCCCCATTCTTTAACTGTAGTTTTAAACCATCATTTTTCATTCTTAAAGGACTCTCTCACCCATATAAGGTGTTCCCACTGGCCAGGAGCATCCTGAGGGCTGTAATCTGAGCAGCTGTGAGATCTGGACACTCTTTCAAATTCTCCAGGATTGCAGGGTCAGAGTCTGTGATGGTGGATGGCTTCATGTCACACACAAAGACTCCCAGCTTTTGGAGCTGCTCTTTGCTGAATGAGGTATTTTTTACTCCCTTGTAAAACAGAGATTGACCTTAATATTGGATCCAGGAGTTTTGCCAGAATTTAGCACTTATCTTTCAATACCTTGACCTGCATTTGGATGAATGCCAAGTTGGGAGCCATGCTTGCTGAGTACAAAGCAATGCTTTGAGACAAGTGGAGCGTAATGTTTGAGTTATTTTGGGGGGGGGGGGTAGGATTTCCCATCTGACCAGGGGGTCATATACCAAAAGCATTAAAATTAAAGACCAGGATTATCACGAAGAAGTGGAATTCTGAGTCAACCAGGCAAGGGATCGATTGGATCCAACCACCCTTTCGTTTCTCTCTGAGGAATTTTAGGGGCTTAGAATATTTATAGAACTTGTTGCATCTAAATCTGGAGGTGTAAGTCAGGGGTCCCCAACTCCTGGGCTGAGGCCCACAACTGAGCTGTCAGCCATTTGGAACCGGGCCGCGGAAGTAGCAGGCAAGTGCATGCGTGCGCACATCCCACTTGTGGAAACAGCAGGTGAGCTTGTGCCCCATTTGTACGAGTGGCAGGCGGATGGGCAAATGGAGCTGCATGAGCACATGTGCTTGTCAGCCACTCGTGTAGAACCATCCCTTCCCTCCCCCCCCCCCCGGTCCGCAAGCCAGAAAGATTAGGGAACTCTGCTATAAGGGATGTCATATGCCTACAAAAATGTCCGTCTATATCTAAAACTAACTTTCACCCCTCCTCAAAAACACTGTTTTCAAAGAGACAATTAGAAGGAAGGACTTCTTATAACCCCAAAATCTAGAGATTTACTCAGGATAAAAAAAGAAACATTTGCAGAATAAAAAAGCTTCTATGTCGGAGGTTCTGAACTTTTTTAACAATCTATCCTTTTCAGGAAAAAATATTTTAAGCATGCATCCCAATTATATGTATATACTGTATATGTATAATTTATATAGTGTGCATGTACTATTATATTAAAATATGTACGTACATTATAAAACATAGCCCCAAAATGAAACTAGAAAAGGCAGAGATAAATCAGTATTGTAACCTATCTTCTCACATTTCAATCAATCATTTTGTGCACCTCTTGAGATGTGCACACCCCGGTTTGGAGAGCCTGCTCTATAGAACACCAAAGTCAGCCAGGAAAAGAGAAGGAGGGAGAGAGAGTCATCACTCACAAAACAATGCAACACATTCTCCAAAAGTCTGGCCCGCTGGGACGATCCATTGGCCAATAAACTTAGGTTCCCTTGAGAAGCCAAAGTGTAAAACATTTCACAGCTTTGATGTTCTACTTTACTAATGCTGGGGGGGAAACAGAACTGTCATCATTTAAAATGCAAGAAAAGATGGTTTATTACCACCCCCCACCTTATAGCTACTTTTTGAGTAAATGTGTAAATATTTCATATCATGTCATGAAGATCATTATTGCTCCTGGAACTCATCTTTTGGACAGTTGTTGGGAAGGTTAAAATTGCTAGAATCCAAAGAGAGCCAGAAGAAAAGCTTTAAAAAAAATAGCCCCTTCCTTTTGCTGGAAAGCACACTTCAGAATTACTCACAGGAAAAAAAGCAGAACGCCTGCTGGGTAGCTGCTGAGGTTTGTGGTCAGGTTGCTTTTGATGAGAAGTCGGGCCATGCAGGAGAGCTGATAAAAAGAAAATAAGGCATTGCTGTCACAATAAGCAAAAAAAGAATTGTATGCTTGTCACTGAAGGTAGATAAACTTCCCAACCATGTGGCCACCTGCATAGTTGCACTTCAGCCCATCTAATCTCCATCAGCATGATCAAAATCCAGGTGGACAGACAAAAGTGGGTCTTCTGAAGAGTTCAGGGGAATTGGATGCCTAAATGAGTGGAGCTCAAACACCGAGAAGTTACATGGTTGGGAAAGACTAGAATCAGAATTGTAAACAGATTTTGGGAAACACTTTGCATAACTATGGCTTGCTATTTTTTTAACTTAATGCTAAGCAGAAGAATTATTAATCATGTGCATTTTGGTTCAAATTTACTTATGGTACCACAGAGACTTCTTTCAGCTGGAGATCATAGTTTAATTCTCCCCGAGAAGACTGCACAATTGTCAACAAAGTGAAATGGAAGAGAGAAATCAGCAGCAAATTTCTCAGATAAACTAACATACATGAGTTTAGATGCATTATGGAACTCCACACCTGCCACTGTAGATGTAAAGCAGTGCACAGAAATAAAATCTAATGGCACATTAAAAGTGGAGTGAATGGGGGAATCAGGTCTTTGGCTGATGCCTTGCACTATTTCCTCCAAGAATGGGCATCCATGGTGTGTTATTCAAACAGAAAACCCACAGGTTCATGACTTAACAAGAAGAAGAGAGAGTTGGAGATGTTTTTCTACTATAAGGAAGATGTTATGTAGAATGAAATTCCCTCTTCTACATAATCCTGAAGCAAATAGATGCCTTAATTGTTTCACCTGCTTTAGGAAGTAGCAAACCACAAGAAATTAATTACCCAGCAATCCTTTAATATGCAGTCAGCCAATGTCAGGCTTGTCCCAGCCAATTCTGGACATGTTATAAGCAAATGTTCTATGACAAAGGTCTTGAGAGGTCAGTTTTATGGCAAATCCTAGAAAAGCCATTAATGAAAGAGGCCAGTTGATAGATGATGGCTGAATATACAGTATCACAAGTGCAATTCAAATGTTACTCTGTTTCATAGCAATCCGCCAGGCCCCTGCTTTGGGCAGGAACAGGGCCTTGCCGCTGACATGCCAGACTCAGGCTCTTGGCGTCTGCCCCACCGTATGCAGCCCTTGCCCTCTTTCTACCTTGAACCTGGGTTTGATCTGAACCTGGTCCAAGAGATCTCCTCACCTGCTCTTCACTCAAATTGGCCTTCTTACATCTCACTTCTTGGACTAAGGAGGAGAGCTGCTCAGGCATCAATTTACTTGCCACATCACACTGAAAGCCTTGCAAGATGAATGGAGAAAGCCTGAAAGCCAGAGAGACTGGTCAATCATGTCTTAGAAGATAATTATACCAGATTTCAACAAGAAAGCTTTTTAAGAATCTACAGAATTATCAAAATTCTGCCTCTGCTGTAGAGGCCCAGTAAATGATGCACAAGCTCCTGAGAGTCATTTGGCTGAGATGGGGCCTATAAAAATCAAATAAATATATAAAATTTTAAATGGGGCAAAAATTTGATCATAGTCACAGCTACCATCTTGACTTTTCTGACACCTTTGTAGAAGCTCATGTTCAATATTTCAAGTACTACTAGTCACATTACAATCATTGATTTAATGTTAAACTGTTTGCTTAACAACTGCAAAATTGGACATGCAAAGGTCCGTAAAGAGGCCGTACATAAGTGCACCAGCATGCCTACCGTCCCTGCCCTACTGTCCCCATTCATTTGTACTCATTTCCTTTGTTTATGTCCATGCTTATACTTATACCTGTTATCTTGTACATGTTTGACAAACTAAATAAAAAAAACTGGGGCATGTCTACCTAACTACCACATTGCTCAGCAAGAGAAGTTCTGGTATCAACCGTGGTGGTAAGTTGAGAGCTACTTTAGACAGAAGTTCAAGTTGAAATTTTGAAAGCTTGACAAACGTAACACATGCTTTGCTTTAAAAAATTGCTGTATGTATGTATGTGCAACATGCTCAACCCATTTCTGCATGTTCAAAATACACTGAATCATAAACTAACCAAAGAGGCATTTAAGCTCAAACGTAGACAGCCTAGGTATGTTGGGAAGAAACAAGCTGGTTAAGCATGATTGGGTCCTCATTCCCCATACAGTATATAATTGAAATATCCTACACTATTTGAAGGGATAAATAAATACCATCTGTAGCTGCTCTATCTTGTTTTTCTCCTTTTCACCACAACATCCCCACTTACTCTACTATCATGATCCCAGAACTCACATTGTGTAGTTCTCAATTCTGGTGAAGAGATCTCCAAATATGACTGCTGCCTGGAACGAGAAGAGCACATCAGAAGCAAGAAATGCCGGAGTCTGCCCTGGTTCAGTCAGCAAATATGTCCAGAGCCATACCTGTTGTGGCGACCACGGTTTCTCATTGATTTTGTGGAGATCTGGAATCTGGCCTCCAAATATCAGCAGTGAATTGGGAACAAATTCAATTAAATCATCTGGAACATTATTTAAGATGTCATCAAGAGAGGAGTTTGAGAGGATCTGCAAATGGCCCGAAGAAAGTCAGGTGAACTGCTCCAACCAGCAGGTTTTAAAAGGTGCATACATGCGGAATATTTGTTTAAGGAAGGGGGGAACCCCAGAAAATTAGGGGACGGGAAGGGAGACCTAATTATACATAGCTGGATCCTTTCTCCACAGGGTCATAATCCCCAATGACCTTGTGGGAAAGGCTCATAGAATCATAGGACTGGATGGGATATTGGATGTCTTCTAGTCCAATCCCCTGCTCAAGTAGGAAACCCTACACACTGTAGCAATTTCAAAACACCATAGACACATAGGACTGGATGGGATATTGGAGGTCTTCTAGTCCAACCCCCTGCTCAAGTAGATACCATTCTGGGCAAATGACTGTCCAATCTTTTCTTGAAAACCTCTAGCAATGGAGCACTCAACTCCAAGAGGGAAGCAGTTCCATTGATTAATTGCCCTGTCAGGAAATGCCTCCTTAATTCCAGGTTGAATCACCCTGACAAGCTTCCACCCATCACTTCTTGTTCTGCGCTCAGGTGCTGTGGAGAATAAATGATGCTCTCTTTCCTGTGATGGCCTTTAAGTATTAGAAGACAGCTAACCCTTCTCTTCATTAGGCTAAACATATCTGGTTCCTTTAGCTGTTCATGACCCTCCAGACCCCTTATCATTTTTGTTGTTCTCTGAACTCTTTCTAGGACCTCAGGATCTTTGTGAACTGTGGTGACCAGAACTGGACACGGGATTCCAAGTAAAGTCTCACCAGTGCAGTCTAAAGCAGTACCACCACTTCCCGTAATCTTCATGCTATTCCAGGGAGCTGTCCACCAGCAAGACGGAACCCTCCATGCCTCTCCCTTCACCACCTCCACCCCCAGGTATGGTGAGCCCCACAATAAGACTCAACACCGGATTGCACGTGCGCGCTTGTGCCCTGCAGTCGCATGTGGCGCCCCACTCCACCCCGGGTTCCTTTTGCATTCCGTTTTGGTGCCTTCGGGCGGAACAGAGCGCAGAGCCAGGATGCTGTGTAGGGCACACATCCCTCCACCCGGTCCAAACCGGGAGCAACCCATCTCTGATCGAGATCCTTCTGAATCTTGAGTCTATCTTCCAAATGACTGACAATTCCCTTCAGCTTGGTGTCGTCTACAAATTTTAATGATTTCCCCTTTCTGTTCTTCATCTACATGACTTATGAAGATATTGAAAAGTACTGGGCCTAAGACCGAACCTTGTGTGTTTCCCTCCATGTAGATGTAGTTCCATTGAGGACTACATGCTTGAGAGCAGTTGATCAGCCAATTATGAATCCATCAGATGGTGAAGCTGTCTAACCCACATTGTTCTATCTTATCAAGAAGTAGGTTGTGGTCTACTTTATCAAATGCATTACTTAATATGTTTGTATGCTTATTTACAATTAAAGACTTTTATAACTCAGAGGTTGCTTTTGGGAGAGTTGTTCTCCTGAAAGGCAGTTATAATAATTGTACAAAATAAATAAATCAGAAACTTAATGACAAATTTCAACATCTATTCCCAATCCAGCTGGATGGCAGGGAAACTGTGGGGTTGTAAAGCTCTACCTACCACTGCAACTTTCTTCATCAGCAGCTGACAGAAGCAAGAAAGCAGCAGCTGCAACACTGGCCAACTTTGTCTCTGAGTTACCTACAGCAAGAGCAAGAGCCAAAGGCGACCCCCTCCCCCTTTCACTGTTGGTCTCCAACCAGGGGTTAGAGCTAACTGCCAGGGAAGCTTTAATCAGCCTTTCTGCAGTGACCAAGGATTGGCCTGGATGCTGCAAAGACCTTCCAACTCTCATATTCTTTGATTTACAGCAGATGCGGCTTGTTGAATTGTTTGTTTGTTTGTTTGTTTGTTTGTTTGTTTGTTTATTTATTGACTTATATACTGCTTCATAGGGCTTTCAGCCCTCTCTAAGCGGTTTACAAATTTTTTAGCAAATTGAGTCAGCAACTTGCCCCCACAGTCCG